ATGCACGCAAAAGTAAACACGATTATATATGCAAATCGGCTACCAGAGCCAGTTTTATTAATAATTGACTATATTGCAAGATTAATGACATTACATGCTAAAATAGCAAAATATTGAACTATAACACTCCTGTTTTGTTCGATCTACACTCCTTACCAACCAACATACTGTACATGCTATCACATATCCATTAAATTTTATAATAAATAATCTTATTACTCCTCCATTTTGTATACCATTGGTTCCATGCGTTTAACTATTTCAACTTCTTCGGAATTCCCCCCCAACGTAGGGTCAACCCAAGCGGTCAATAATTGTTTAAAGCTACTTTTGAGATCCCCTCCAATAACCGAAGTATGAGTTGTAGCCTGTTCTAAACAGCCGTAAACTTCTGATGACAATCCAAATACTGCAAGCGGTATTTGAAAATATCTCTGGAATGTCACAATTTCAGCATCTGAAGCATCATCTAAAACATCCTTATTGGGCTCTTTTTTAACATCTGAAGTATCTTCGCTTAGCTTAGTTCTGATCCTTTTAAGAAATCTATCCCTCGTATCATCACAATCTGTATTATAATCTTGCAAAACTTCATCAATCTTATGTTTACGCTTAACTGCCCCTTTGGTTTCAACTGTTCCTGATGGATCTTCAGAAAACCCCTTTGACGATCCCAACTGCATATACAATGATAAAAATGGCATATGCGGAAGTTGTTCGATACCCACGCTTGCTGGTGACAACGAAACTGTTGCAGAGAGTGGATAATCACCACCTTTTATGTTTTTGGCCCAATTTTTAACTTGGATTAGTATGTATGAAATACGATCCGTGCTAGGTTCTTCATTAAGAGCGCCTATATACATAGGTATAATAATATCTGCTCCCTCCTGATTTCGTTTACATGAAAATGCGACCCCGCGGATCAGAGCGTCCAGGAGATCTTTCCTATCCGGAGTATAGGTGATACTGATAAAATGTGTAAACTTTATATAAGCTTGTCCAAATTCTGTTCCCGTAAACGATACCCGCTCTTGAAGGCGAAGTGCTATCTTTTTATACGCATTATCTGCTAGCAACGATTTTAAAAATTCACTTAAAGTTATAAAACGAGAATAATGAATTCTAGTAGAAGGTACATCCAATTTCTCGTAAACATCATCCCATGCTTTAAGCAATAATAATCTGGCAACAAGCTCTCCACGATATCCGCCTTCTACTGCACCGTTTTTAAGCGCTGAGGTAAGTGAATTAATAAGTTCTATAAGATTAATGTCTGGATCATTCATTATTTGAGCAGACGCTTCTGCCAGCACAGGTTCAGTAGGCATAGATGTAATAATGCTTTTACGATCATCTGAGATCTTAAGACAAAGGCGCATATAGCTTGACACCAAATCGGATGCATATTCAGACTGTGGTACTATGTCTATACATAAACGGGGTCCTAAGATGGCCAATGATTCCACGGAGCTGATTTTATTTTTATATTCCTTTTTCCACCAAGTGTAAGCCATTCCACCGACAAGCTTCTCCATGGCCAAATTGATAATATCATGCGGTTCGAATCCTTTAACATTATCAAACGGAGACAATGTTAGTGAACTCCATAAGGGCCTTCCATACATAAAGAAAGATTGTGGACATTCAGAATCTTTCAATGTTGATGCTTTTTTATGATCAACGTTTATGTCTACAGTGTCTATCAAATAAAACGGTTTAAATAATTCAGCTCTTCCAGTAGCGACTCTCGGTGACTGATCATGTTTGGAAGCAGGTGAGAAGTTCGAAATATTTGAAATTGTATCCGTAAAAACAGCAAAAATTCCTATATCATTAGGTAAAAGTTTTAAGGCATGGCGAAGATAATAGAATAGACTTCCTTTTCCCAGTTCATCCTTATTATCAACTAGAACACGGGCCTCATCAAACGCGAATAGACATTTAACTGCATTGTCTCGTGTTAATAATATGTTATCCATTTTCAAGTATCCCTTAACTACC